CTGAGGGTTGCGATCCGTTGCCGGTCACAAAAAAAGAGACAAAAAGGAAAAAAAAAAAAAGCTGTAAACTCTGTTTTTAAAACAAAATTAATCGGTCTTGTCTGGGGCAGAGTCACACATGGTCAGTCAACCTGCAGAAGCAGCATCATGTCAAAGCTTGTTAGGTTCAGATTCTCTGGACCCGCTCAGACCGACTGAATCAGAATCTCCAGAGGTAGGGCCAGAAATCTGTATTTTTATTAAGCTCTCCAGCTGATTCTTACAAAGAGTGCACTATTTGGGGGCATAGATTGGCTTTACCATCTTAATTTGAGCATTATGAAGAACAAATACATAGTCAAGAATGCATAAGTTAAAATTCACTAAAGATTGTATAGCAACTATGAATTTTATTTCTCCCCCTCCCTGAATTTTAATTTCTTTGGATGTTTCTAGGTAAACAATGATTACTAATTATCTCAATATTGTATTCGTCCAAGGTCCTGAAGTCAGTTATCGATTTTAGATAACATAATTAAATTATCATTAAAGAATAATACAATCACTGTTAATAATAAGAATCTGACAGAGAAATAGAACCACTTAAAACTTTACCCAGTTAGTGCAGGTAGAATAACTCCATAGGTTCACATAACTTTCAGTTTTGTCTGAGATTTGCAGGGACAAAATGTATAAAGACACTAGTTACTTAAATGATGATTCAACTTAATTATAAATCTATGTTTACATTTAGCACTCGTAAAAATTAGTGTAAATAATAGTAAGCTATATGACTCATAAACAATTTTAAGGAATTCAGGTGATTTCTTCAACTTAGCCTTTTTATTTAAACAAAATCCAGAGTCTTGCATGAATTAAAATGACATATTTAAATGTTTTTGGGGGGCTGGCCTGTGGCTCACTCAGGAGAGTGTGGTGCTGACAACACCAAGTCAAGGGTTAAGATCCCCTGACCGGTCATCTTTTAAAATAAATAAATAAATAAATGTTTTTTTTCTCTCAGTGGCAAAATCAAGTCATATTGCCATCTTTTAAACTCCCAAATCTCCAAACAATTTAACTTATCAAAAGTTTGCCTCGATTAGGTGAACAGCAGTCCCCCCTTATCCACAGGGGGTACCTTCCAAAACCCCTGGTGGATGCCTGAAACTTCAGATAATACTGAACCCTATCCTGTATATTCTATATTTTTTTGTATACGTATGTACTTATGATAAAGTTTAATTTATAACAGGCATAGTAAGAGACTCACAAGAATAATAATAAAATAGAACAATTATAACAGTATGCCAGCATCACCACTCTTGCGCTTTGGGACCGTTATAAGTAAAATAACAGTCGCTTGAGCACAAGCGCTGTGATACTTCGACAGTTGATCTGATAACCAGGACGGCTGCTAAGTGACTAANTTAATTGTTGGCTTGATGTCAACTTGCATAGCTTCATTCTTTATCTTCGATTCATCAGAGATACCAGAGCAAATAGCCAAAGGTAGCTTTTTCCCTTTTTCTATTAAAACAAAACAAAAGAAACAAAACAGACAAACAAAAAAAAAACTCTCCAGATAAATTATATTAGAGAAATGCCATTTAAAATTTTGCCAACAACAGTTATTTACATAGTTATTTAAATAAATTTTAGGGGGGAAGAAGACTTAACAACTACAACTCCTTGAAGTTGATACGACAAGCAAACAGAAAGGACATTGTTGGGTGGGAGAGGGGAGAGGGAGGAGGGAGGGGGGTTTCGGTAATGGACCACAATAATCAACCTCATTGTATATCAATAAAATAAAATTAAGAAAGAAAAAATAAATAAATAAAATAAAATTTAAAAAAATAAATAAAATAAAATGCTTTAATTAAAAAAAATAATAATAAATAAATAAATTCTAAATTTTTGTTAGAGTATAATTCACCTTCTGAACAAAGTTTTAAAAATTCATTTAGTCCAATTTAATCTTTTTCACTTGGCAGGCCATGTTTTCAAGTAGATAACTACCATAAGAATCAGACTACTATTTACTATATTTCCTTAACCAAATGTAATTTTTGGCTCCATTCTCTTTTTTTTTTTTTCGGACGGCTGGCCGGTACAGAGAACTCCATCCTCTTTGAAAATGCCGTGAACACTTTAATTTTCTCCCAGCCCGGCATCTTAAAATTTTTTAAATGTGTTTTGTTTTAACGCCCGTTGCTCTTCAGCATGTGGTTCCCAGGCAAGCAGAATCAGCTCCACTTGGGAACTTATTAGAAATGCAGATTCCCTGGTCCCACTGCAGACCTGCTGAGTCATAATCTGCATTTTCACAGTATTTCCAGGGGATGCATATGCACTTTGCAGTTTGAGGAACACCTGGAGCGGTCTCTGGGAGCTAGTCCATGGAGCCTCAAGTCAGCTCCACCGAATCTGAGAGGCTTACACCCTGTTCTGAAGGTGGACTGGCCTCCCTTTTTCAAAGGTAATCTCCAAAGGAATCGACCTTCCTTTGCTTGCGTGACGTGTCCACACCAGTCTTTGAAGACCAATGGCTTCTCTGCTTGCTCTCATCCAGGATCAGAAAGGCCAGGGTTTCTTCTCTCCTGGGAACCTACAATCCCCTTGGATTCCCCTTCCCCCTCTCTCTAGTCACATAAAAGGGGGGAAGCAAAAGAAGTACAGTCGAAGTACTCCAATCCACGTGAATAGATCTGAAGACATAAGGACCAGTGAGAAAAGGCAAGTCTCAGAGTATGTATATGGAAATGACAAAGACATCTGGCTATATGCTAGCAGCTGCCTCTGAGCAAGGGAGGAGGACAGTACAGCAGGAGATGGGGAAGCCAACGAGGCCAGGCCTCCTGTGAGACCAGAGCAGGAGAGGGTCTGAGAAGTCCATCAGGCTTCTGTGGCCCTCTTGCCTCTCCTCTCAACCCATCCCAACCCACCACTGCAAGGGTGTTCTGCCATGTGGGCCCCATTCTGACCCCGTGGCCTCTCTGATGTCCATACAGCCTAGCATAGTGGCTTTAGTAGCTGAATTTACTAGACAGAATGACTGTCTGAGACACAGAGCTGGGGCAGAGGCCAGAATGAAGAGAAGTGCTTGGGAACTTCTCTAAGTCAGCTGTCCTCTCGTTAGGTTACTATACCCCTGAGAGCGCAGGAAGATTTTTCAGGGACTGGCAGGCATAGACAACTTTAAGAGAAATCTATTTCCGGATCCTCACTTCCGTATGAACTCCTTTCTAAAAACCAGCTGCCTGAGAATGTGCCAGGGGGGTCAGGGGTACCAATGCCCCATCTCATCTCCTTTTCAAGTTTTCCTTTTCCCACCTCATAAAAGACAAGCATCAGGCTGGCTGGTTAGCTCACTTGGGAGAGTGTGGTGCTGAGAACACCAAGGTCAAGGGTTCAGATCTCCTTACCTGCCAGCAGCCAAAAAAACAAACAAAAAAGACAATCATGTACACCTGCCATACAATCCAGCCATTCCACTTCTAGGAATCGACCCAAGAAAAAAGGAAATATATGTCCATACAAAGATTTATATATGATTGTTCATAGCACTTTTACTTGTAATAGCCAAAATTTGGAAATAACCCAGATATGTATCAACAGATGAATGCACAAATAAATAGTGGTACATCCACACAATGGAATATCACTCAGTAATAAAAAAGAATGAACTATTGATACACACAACATGTATCAATAATTGCACTAAGTGAAATAAGCCAGACAGCAATAGAATGCATACCGTATGATTCCATCCATATAAAACTCTAGAAAATGCCAACTAATCTATAGTGACAGAAAGCAAATTGGTGGCTGCCTAGGGATGGATATGTTCACAATCTTGCTTGCAGTGATGGTTTCACAGGTGTCAAAACTTAGCACATTGCATAGTTTTAATATGTACAGTTTATTGTATGTCAAGCATACCTTAATAATGCCGGTTTTTTTTTTTTTTTTTTAAAAAGGAAAGCATACCTCTCACCTATCCTGAAATTTATCACAAAACCTCAGGGGCAGAGGAAGGGGCAATTTTAGAATATATTGTCCCAGGGAAGAGTCCTTTGGGAAGAAATCAAGAAATACCGAAGGGGGTTTGCTGTATTTTATCTAGGTTCCAAATTCCAGCAAAACACTGAGCTCTCTCTATCCATTACTTTCCTATCTGTCTACTGTCCATCCATCTGTCCATCCAACCAACCATCTGTCCACCTTTCTACCTATGAGCTAGTTCGTGAGTATGAGTGTATATTAACACTTTCATATGAATAGAAAAATGAAGTCGGGCTGGCCGGTTAGTTCAATCAGCAGAGCATGGTGGTGATAATAACACCAAGGTCACAGTTCTGATCCCCTTACTGGTCACCAGCCAAAAAAAAAAAGAAGTTAGATTCGGGTTGCCATCTAAATGTTCTTATCCCATGTTTAAACTACTGCAAAAACATAAATAAATAAACTATCGTACAAATGACACTTTGGAACATACTGCATATGTAAATATGCTTCAAATATATTTTTTGGCCATCGTGGAGCTGCAGACTTAACTCATCCAGTTTGTGGAGTCGGCGCTCCCTGTAATCCAAACAGCCCCACGGGATGGCGACACAGATGGGGACAGGGGTGGAGGGAGCGGGTCAGAATTCCATAGTGGAGAGGCCAGCAACCTCAAAAGGGGGTTGGGAAACAAAGGAATCCAAAGCCCTTAATTTAGTCTGAATCATTTTCTGAGTACCTGCAGGGCCGTGCTCCTCAGGGATGCCCTTTGCTGCAGAAGTGGGGCCTGAGGGCTGGCAGCGCCCTGGCTGCTGGGACTCCCCGGTGGGACAGGTCGTGTTGGCTGCTCCCTTGCAGTCACCACAGCCTCGCCCTGGGTGCCCACCAACTTCTGCGGAAGGAATGGAAGGACGCGTGGACCGCTGGGCGGCCAAGGCGGAAGGCACGGGTGGCTTGTGTGAAAAATTTTAGAGACTAGGTACCATGCAGGGTGGCCTTGGGCTGGACTGGTAGCTCTTGAAATTGCTAAAGCCCAGGGCTTGTGGTTGATGAATGGATCAGAGGTGACAACCCAATGGAGACTCAGAGAGGAGTCAGAAGGGGGTCAGAGGTCACTCATGTGACTCCAGGCGTGTGTCAAGCCCTGCTGGGTGAAACAGTCTCTGTGACTTCAATGTGGGGGGGTAGGGGGATGGATATCAAAAAATGCCGTTATCATTTCTAGGATGACCTTACCAGATCCTCAGGATTTTTACCCTGCAAGTATAGTTGACTCTCCATATCCCTGGGTTTTGCATCCACAGATTCAACCAACCATGGTCTGTGGAATATAACAATAAAAAATAACAGTACAACAATAAAAAATAATACAAATTAGAAAACAGTAGGGGGCTGGCCGGTTGGCTCAGTTTGGTTAGAGCGTGGTGCTGATAACACTAAGGTCCAGGGTTCATCCCTGTACTGGCCAACCGCCAAAAAAAACACGCACACAAGAAAAACAATACGGTATAACGACTGTTTATACAGCGTTTACATTGTATTAGGTATTATAAGTAATCTAGAGATGACTTAAAGTATATGTAGGCTATATGCAAATACTAGGCCATTTTATATCAGGGGCTTGAGCATCCGCGGATTTTGTAGGAGGGGTCCTGGAACCAATACTGCGCGGACACCCGAGGGATGATTATAATTTTGATGAAATTTACAGTGATCAAAGAGGTGGCCTCGGCATAACTGAGTCACTGATTGGATCTATAAGCGGAGGACTTCGTTTGTTTAAAGACTCAGACCACAGAGCAAAACCGGTTGAGTTCAAATCTAGGATCTGTGGCTGACTGTGTCCTCCAGCAAGTACTTAACCTCTCTGAGCCTCAGTTTCTGCATCATGTGACGACAATTATAAAATCTACCTCCTAGGACCGTGGTCAGGATGAAATCGACTAATTAATGTAAATTGCTTCCTGCACAGTGGAAACATGGGAATCTTTGCATTGGTGCCCGACGGCGCCTAGACGGTAACTGCATCACTCTCCCGGGAGACCAAGGTGGCGGGCGGGTTGTGCCCCTGAGACCCGCCCCTAAAGGGCGTGGCCGACCGAAGGCGTGACTCTGGGGGCCGAGTACATCCGGCCGGGCGCTATAAGAGCCCAGGCCTGCGTCCTGCAGCTCACTGCGGGTTCTTCTCTGTTCGCGACAGGTGCGGTTCCCCGGCCCACGCTCTGGATCTACATCTGGTGAGTCTGCGCCTCCAAATGAAGAAGAGAACCTCGGTGTGGTGGGGTGGGAGATCTAAAACTCCAAGGTGGAGGGATCCACTCCAGGGGATCCACTAACCGGGCAGGACAAGGCAGAGGTGTCCAAAACGGTTCATTTTCTCAGGGACTTGTTTACTGAGCACCTCCATCCCTTTCAGGTGCGACTGCTCCTGTCGGCTGCGGTCCCTGAGGGCCCCTCGAGGGCACATTCACTGCCTGTCTGGTGTACCGGAGTCCCCAGACCACGGCCTGATCTGGGCACCCGCGAACGTCGGTGGAAGAGATGGAAGGATGCGGAGAACGCAGAACGTGAGGAGCCTGAGTCAGAGCGCCTGGGTGAGTTCCGGTTGAAATACTGGAGAACAGGAGAAGTGGGTGTAGCCCGCGGAGGGGACTCGTTTTAAAAATCCCTTAAGCCGGGAAGGGATCCCTCTGCTTTCCTGAGGGCCTCGTTGGGGGACAAGAAGTCCTCCATTGGGTCCCAGTGTTCTGCGGGCCCCGGCGGGCTCCGTCAGGCCTTGCTTGGGACCAAACACCACTCTCCGCTCAGAGGAGCCTCCAGTGCGACAGTGGGGGAGGGGAATGGTTGGAAAGGGAGTCCAAGAGCAGGACGCTATTAAAGGTTGATTTCAATGAGGACGTCATCTTAGAGACTGCCTCGGTTGGGTTTTGTTTTTGTACTTTTTTTCCAAAAAATTTTATTGTGTTCAAATACACGTAACAGGAACTTATCATCTTCACCAGTTTTAAGTGTATGGTTCATTGGTATTAAATACGTTCACAATGTGCAACCATCACCACCATCCATCTCCGTAACGCTTTTCTTCTTGTAGAACTGAAACTTCATACCCATTAAACAGTAACTCTTCATCCCCTCCCCGCAACCAGTTCTGTCTGTATATGATTTTGACTACTCTTAAGTAGCTCCTATAAGTGGAACCACACAGTATTTGTCTTTTTGTGACTGGCTTATTTCACTTAGCATAATATTCTCAAGGTTCGTCCATGTGGTAGCATATGTCCGAATTTCTTCCTTTTTAAGGCTGAATAGTATTCCACTGTTTGTGTATACAGTTGTACCTGGTATCGATGGTTTCGCTTTCCTCAGGTTTCCAGTTTGAGTTACTGGTGGTTTCAGTTACCCACAGTTAACTAGGATCCGAAAAAAGATGAGTACAGCACAATAAGAATTTTTTTTTTTTTTTCTTGATCTTAACCCTTGACTTGGTGTTGTCAGCATGATGCTCTCCCAAGTGAGCTAACCGGCCATCCCTATATAGGAATCCAAACCTGTGGCCTTGGTGTTATCAGCACCACACTCTCCCAAGTGAGCCACGGCCGGCCCTCATACATTCTTTTTTATTGAAACATAATTGATTGTACATATCTGTGGGGTTGAATATCAATACCTGCATGCAATATGTGTTGCTCAAATCAAGATAATTAGTATATTCAACTTTGTGCAATGTAATCATTTTTTGTGGCCCTTTACCAATTCTTGCTAACAGTGATACATTTTGAATACAGCCTGTGGGAATTATCATGGTATCTCTCTGCTCTGAGAGTCAAGACAGGGCAGGAGAGACTGGGCTTTGATGGCAGGGATAGGAAAAGAGCATATTAGATAGGACAGACTGTAACTCAGCTGCATGGAGCAGGCTGAGCAAGGGATAGAACAGGGACATGGCAAAACTGAGTGGACTGGTCTGGCTGAGTAGGGCAAAAGCTGGGAAGAGGCACACAGGATGGAAAAGATGCGAGGCTATCCAGATGGTGGGTTTTGGGAGCTAATTGTAAGCCTGACACCAGATGTATAGGAAGCCAGGAGGTTACGGATGCCCGCTTTGAACAGAAGTATAAACCTTGACCATGTGCACAGTTAGGCCTCTGTCTCTAAAGAAGCTGCTTCTTGGAATGTGTCTTAGTCCATTCCATTCAGGCTTCTGTAACAAAGTACCATAAACTGGGCAGCTTACAAACAACAGAAATTTGTTTCTCACAGTTCTGGAGCTGGGAAGTCCAAGATCAAGGTGCTGGTAGATTCAGAATCTGAGAGGGAGGGCCTGCTTTCTGTTTCATAGATGGCATCTTCTAGCTGTATCCTCTCAGGGTGGAAGTGAAGAACTCTGGTCTCTTCAGCCTCTTAGAAGGGCACTAATCCAATTCATGAGGTCTATGCCTTCAAGACCTAATCACCTCCCAAAGACCCCATCTCCTAATATGGTAATTAGGTTTCAGCACATGAATTTTCAGGACACACATTCAGTCCATAGCAGAATAGTTTCTGGAAGCTGGTGCTTTCCAGAATGGTCTTCAGGAAGCTAGAATCCCTGGGTACCCCCAGGAAGTCTCTGAAAAAATGTCCACAGTGGGTGCAGATCTGTGAGGACCCATAGCCAGATAGGTCTAGTTCAAGTTAAGAGTCTTCCACCTGTGCCCTTCCAGGGAGGTGAAGTGACTTTTTTTTCTTATTTAAAATGGGATTAATCATGACTCCTATCTTCTGGGGGCATGGTGGAAATGAAATGAGATAATATGTTTGAAAGTTCATTCATTTAGCTGAATCTCCAGTAATGGGAGGCAGGGCATCTTTGGAAAAGTGTCTGGGGTGAGGGGATGGTGAGGCATTCATGCATTCATCTAGATTCTTGCTTCCACTGATAGATAGGAGTAGCACGGTAAGAGTTTGCATTTTAGAAATGTTACTCTGACTGCGTGTGTGGGATGCACTGGATGGAGTCAATTCCAGAGTTAAGGATTGCAGGCTTCTAGGCAAGAGATGATGGTGGGCTAGACTAGGATAGTATCAGCAGGGATGGATAAAGCAGGGTGTAAGAAATTGAGATTTGAGCTGGAATGGACTCTGATATGCTAACTTTTTTGCAGGATCTCACAACTGAAGATCCAGTGCAGTCATCAGGAACAGGAGAGATGGATTCCTTCCTCCAGGAAATTGAGGAGTTACTCCAAGGCTTCTGTGAGCCACATAAGGAAGAGGCAAAAACCCCAGCTGTGCCACAGCCACAGCTCTATGTGCCTCTGACTACCCATGGTGGGGACAGTCAACATGGGTCAACCCAGAGCCAGGTGATGCCTCCCTTGAGGCCCACAGTGATGACTTTTGCATGTTCTAACATTGCTGGGACATTTCTTACCCAGAACTCAACAGCAGCCCCTGTTAAAGCCCTTGATATGCCCCTTGGATACCTAAGTGAGACTTTTTCCATGAGCGAGAAAGTAACTTCCTTTGATCAGATGAAACCCACAGCAGGCTCCCAGATGGCGGAAATCACTGACATCCCAAGGACATCACTCACTGATTGCCAGAAGACAACCATCACTGCAAGCGAGGTGCTCATCTCCAGTGAAGGTAGCCAGATGAAGACCCTATGTGGTGACCAAACCCTCAGTGGGAACCAGATGACAACTCTATGTGGAGATCAGATGAAGACCCTCAATGATAACCAGATTCTCTATGGAAACCAGATGGCAGCTCTTACACAGGGCCATGTGATGACCTTCTGTGGTGACCACACACTCACTGAAGGCCATACAATGACTTCCAGTGGTGACCAGATGACAAACTTTAAAGGGGGCCAGATGTTGACCTCCATTGGTAACCAGACCCTCTATGGAGATCAGATGATGACCTCCAGTGGTGACCAGACCCTGTATGGGAGTCAGATGACAACGTTCGGTGGTGACCAGATCCTCTATGAGGGCCAGATAACAGCCTCCGGTGGTGACCAGACCCTCAGTGGTAACCAGAAAACAACCTTTAAAGGAGGCCAGATGATGACCTCTGTTGGTAACCAGGCCCTCCATGGGGGTCAGATGAAGACCTCTGGTGGTGAACAGACCCTCAGTGGTGAGCAGATGACAACCTTTAAAGGGGACCAGATGATGACCTCCATTGATTACCAGACCCTCTATGGGGGTCAGATGACGACCTCCAGTGGTGACCAGACCCTCTATGAGGGTCAGATGATGATCCTTAATGGAGGCCATATGACAACCTTCACTGATGACCATGCTCTCTATGGAAGCTATATGATGTCCTATCCATCCTTATCATTGCCATATCCAGGATTCCTATACTTTTCAAGTCCCCATTTGATCCAAGCACAACTCCCAGAAATGCAGAAGTGTAACTTCAATATCCCAGGCTGTCAGTTCCAGAATAATCCTGACATCTTGAAGCCCTACATCTGCACCTACCAGGACTGTAGGAAATCTTATTTAAGGTCTTCCCACCTCCGAATCCATGAGCGGAAACACACAGGTGAGTGATGGCCCAGGAGCAGAGAGGGGCAAGTGGCTACAGATTGTGCCTTTATAAAGCTTTGGGATCATTGGAGATTGTTGCCACCTCCTTTAAGCCTGGGACCCCTGAAGATTCTAGAAAAGTTTGGCAAGTTTGACAGGCTTTAGTCCCAGGCCAGAGCCAGTCTGACTGCAGCCTTTTGTGATGTTGACCATGCTGGGATGATGGGAATAAGTGGAGGAATTTGTCTGGCCCCTTAAGGATGTTCTTGACCTGACCTCTACTGGGACTGTCACTTCATGGACCACCTCTTAGGCCCAACAGACCTCCTGCACTGACTTTCCTGCTAGTCCCTGCCTCTCCTAGTTTTCTTTTTCTTTACCTCCTTTCTCTCCTTGACACTTGTCGCCTTGTCCTTCCAGCTCGTGCTGCCCTCCTTCCCTTCCTCTTTCACTCACCCCCTCCAGTTTCCTCTTCTCTGGTTCTCCTTCTCCCTCCGGTTCTCTTTTTCTTCTTGTTCATTTTCAATGTCCCTGCCCCACCCTTCCCTGAAGTATGACAAGTCTCTCTCTCTCTGGTCCAGGGGAGAAGCCCTACGTCTGCAATGTGACAGGATGCACATGGAAATTCTCCCGCTCGGATGAGCTCAGCAGACATAAGAAAACGCACAGTGGGGAGCGGCCCTACCTGTGTTCTAAATGCTACAAGAATTTTGCCCGATCCGATCACCTAAAGCAACATCAGAGAATCCACAGATAATTTTCACCCAGGACTGTGAACCTCTCAGCCCATAAGGAAATGTGTACAGCCAAAAGATTCTCCCTACTGAACATTTGTTTCCTTGGTACCCAGCACTGTGCCAGCACATAGCAGATGCTTAATATTATTTGTAAACTTTTTCTAGTTTTGTTTTTTTCTAAAACAATACAAAGAAAAAAAGGGGGCTGACCAGTTGGCTCACTTGGTTAGAGCGTGGTGCTGATAACACCAAGGTTAAGGGTTCTGATCCCTGTACCTCCCCGTACTAGCCAGCCACCAAATAAATAAAGTGCTGGCCAGTTAGCTCACTTAGTTAGAGCACAGTGTTATAACAGCAAGGTCAAGGGTTCCGATCCCTGTACCAGCTGGCTGCCAAAAAAATAAAAACATACAAAGGAAACATTCATGCATTTTCATATAAAAACTGGGTAATATATAACTCAATCAGAAGCATTCTCCATTCACTCCCCTCCCCAGGGGTAACTGCTTTTATCAGCGTGCTGTTAATGCGTCTACATCTTGCTTTGTGTATTTACTTCTGTGTGTACTTGTAAAAACGTATATGTGTAGATGACTAAAATTTATATCGGGCTGGCCAGTTAGCTGAGTTGGTTAGAGTGTGGTGTTATAACAGCAAGGTCAAGGATTCGGATCCCAGTACTGGCCAGCCAGCAAAAACAAAACAAAAATAAATAAAAGTTTATACATAGTTCAGACATGGACGGAATGTAGCATTCTTTCTTTTCTGTGTCTGAGCTCACGTTTCTTTGGATCTTCGTTCTTACGGGGCAAAGAGAGACGAGACACTCAGTCATGTCCAGTGTAAAGTGGCCTCAGGTTAAATGAAACTCGTTTAGATGAGTATTTAGTTTATGCAAAAGTTCGACCTCCCGACATGGTTGTTTCTCCTCTCAGGCAAAGTGTCTCCCTTCCCCTCTGCCTTTGCAATATGCTGGCAGGATACGGGGGTGATGGCACTGGGGAGGGGTGGTCAAGTGCTGGCCGCCAGGGGAGGGATTTAGCCTTCATTCCCCTGAGCCTTGGCCCTTTTCTTTATTGCTCCTGCTGACCTATGTGCAGCTGGGATGACCTGTGGCCTGTTTTTCTTTGCACGGATGTGGCTTGGTAACTGCTCTTGACATGTTGTCCATCTTTCCCTGCCGACAAGGTTCTTTTCCACACTCTTGAGGGCCCTGCTCTCTGAGATCTGCCCTTGACTCCCATCCAACTCCCGGTTTGTGTAGTATCTCCCTGGCAAAAAGGTCTGGGTAAAGTCCAGGGTGTGATCTGTCCCACTCATTTCCAAGGGGGCACTTTGAAAAGCGGTCTCCACCCAGAGCACTGAAAAGGAAGCAGACACGAATCCCTGATGCTTCCATTTCCCTGCGACATTGGAGCTGCTTCTTGATCCACCCACTCCCACCTCAGAGGCCCCAGAGTTAGATCCCTGAGCCTTTGAGGGACCCAGACAACATTTTAAAAATTATATTTTAGGGCCGGCCTGTGGCTCACTTGGGAGAGTGTGGTGCTGATAACACGGGTTCGGATCCCTATATAGGGATGGCCGGTTAGCTCACTTGGGAGAGCGTGGTGCTGACAACACCAAGTCAAGGGTAGAGATCCCCTTACCGGTCATCTTAAAACACAGTGTTATAACAGCACATATATTTTAATGTATATTTGAAATATATGAAATAATATCCGTAAGTTATAAGCATAAGAAAATGAACATCTGCAAGAGTCCATCACCCAATGTCATGTAATGTTGAGATGGCAAGTTAGGACAATGAGCCTTTATTTATTTAATGCTACAGAGCAAGCAAGAGGCAAAAAAAAATAGGGGCTGGCTCTCCACTGTTCTATCTTTCCCCATGGAACAGCACCAGGCAAGAGTTAAGTGACAGCATACATGGGGGGAATTCTCTCACTTCCCCTAAACAAAAGGCTCCCACCTTTTTATGGAGGGAATCAGGTGGGGGAGAAAGAGTGGAGAAGTACTGGGTCAGATGGGAAAAGTGCCTTAGCCAAGGCCCCTGAGAAAGAGGTCACTGCAGCGGCACCTGGGCTGTGAATGCAGCTGTGCATATGAGCATGGCAGGTCTGTGGTGGTGGGTGCAGGACAATTCTCCAGGTGACCTTGAACTGACCCAGTTCTCCCTCCTTTCTCACATGTAGTTCTCAAGAATAACTGTAGAATGTGCTTAGAATGCAACATCCCGAGATAAGGGTGAATTGGCCAGAACAGCCTGGGCTCTGTTCCTGTCCCCTCTAGAAATGGGATATCTTTAACATGTTAGCCCAGAAAACCACATGGCCCCAGGGTATAAAACCCAAGGTGGGCTGCTTTCTGGGATCTCTGCTGTGGTGCAAGTGGGGCACATGCAGTTGAGTCTCTCTCCCCCCAGGCAGCTATCATGACCCTCCGGAACCAGCTTACAATGTTATCCCTTGCTGCCTACCTGTAAGTAATAAACTTCCATCATGTAACTGTGTCTGGGTGTTGTCTCACCAGACTCAGACAAGTTGGTATCCAGTGCACAGTGAACCTGCTTCACAGTGAGGACCCTGAGTACCTGACTGTAAGTAACTTCATTCACAAGATTGCAATGCCCTGGTGTACCAAGGCTGTACCAAGTCTGGTGGGGGAAGACAGTTTCCTCCCATGAGGCCTGCCAGGCAAAGTCTTGTGATTACCTGTGGTTGGGCTTGAAAGATCATACATAGGACTTTGGCCTGGAGCTGGACTCAACTCCAGCCCTTGATCTATCAGGGCCTGAGCGAGAAGCATAGGCTACTCCATCACAGACTCAAACGAGCTGGATATTGGTTAATCCGTCTGAGGCAGCCGCACACCGGGCCATGACTGAAGTAATTCTGAACAGGGTGATGAGGCCTGCCTGAGTGCGGTCTGAACCCCACCTGCTTCCAGGCCAGGAAAAGGAGTCCCCAAGCTCATTGAGTCTACTCCAGAGATCCAGGAGGCCTTCTGTCTAAGCCTCCTAATGGACTATTCTGTTTTGCTAGTTCCATTGATCTAGGTGTCAGCAGTCGCACAGACCCCTCCTTGGCTGGCCAGCAGGAAGTCAAGGGTTAGCCAGTACTACTCGGGCCAAGGAGTTACAGCTGGTCTATTGGCTTCAAAGCTGATGTAGTATCATCAATAACCTCAATGGGCATCAAGGGCAGGTTGCACACAGCCTTTTCTAACTGGACGACCCTGATAGTGAGAATAACCACACAGTCTGTGAATGCAGGAGTGAGTGTAGGGGAGAAGGCCACCACCATTGCAGCCAAAATAACCCCGACAGAGGATCCTGTGCCCCCTCTTCCAGATGTCCTCATTACCCCCATCTCCAACAGGAACGAGTTGACATTTAGGGAGGTGTTTTGCTCCTGCAGAATCCAGTTGTGACAATGTATCAGCCATACATTAATTAGGTTGCTCTTGAGGCACCAGAACGGCCCTAACAGGCCAATAATTGCCTCAAAGGGTATGTGCCTTTTCAGGAGTTTATAGATCCAGAAGCCAAGCAGTGCCACTGGCCATGGTATTTTTCTGCCATAGGCTCCAGTTGGTGAATTGAGATTGCTGAAACCTGTAACACAAACAGCTAACGTGGATCCACAGGCCTCAGAGGAAGGACAGCTGGGTGGCCACTGAAGGGCCTCCAGGCATTTGGTTGGTAGAAGTCCCACCAAGGTAGCAGCCATTCTCGTAACCTGGCAGATGGGAGCCCTCAAGATCCCCACATGGACTATGCGAGAGCACCAGTAGCCAGATGGGCCCACCAATCACACACCCCCTTTGTATTTGTCAGGGCAGACAGAAAGCTCAGGAATCCATCTCTAGAATGAGATGTCATGTCCCTTCCCAGTGTGTGCCAGAGATTTCAATGGATCCTATGTTCTTGTACCTTCTCTGTGTTAATAGCCCAGCCATGTTCCTGCATGTGCATCTACAGAGGGACCTCAGCCTAACCCCCTAGGCCTGTCTATTTTTGAAAGCCAAGAGGGCCAGGTAAGATTGGCGGGGCTCTCAGATTCATCTCCAGGCCCACTGGGAGGGGCTGCTGGTCAGAACCCCTATGGCCACATACTTGGCCATGAGTCCCATGAGTTCTCAATCTCCACTGTGACTCTGTCACTGAGTAATCAAATTCAGAGATCTTTCTGGGAAGGCCTTTGCCCAGGTTGCCCAGGACAGGGCCCCAGGTTATTACTCTAGCACAGTTCTTTCTGCTCTTTTTGCTGTCTTGCCAGTGGCCACTTTTTCCATGACTGGGAATTTGTCAGCTTAACACTTGGATTGTTTCGTGGACCCAATGAAACAATGAGGAAGTTTAACTGGACCTGGAAACCAGAGAGAACAGCACAGACAAACTTAAGAACTGGGGGCTGGTTATGGAACTATTTGCAGTTCCTCACTGCAGACCCAAGAGACCACAAGGGGGCTCACAAGGCCACTATGGCCTCTGCAAGTGTGGTCCAAACATGTTTTTTAGTGGCAGGGAACTTGTCACAGGGGGGCCAAACCTGTCGGAGCCCAAATAGTTCCCAGGTGAGGAAGGAGAAGGTCCAGATGTTTGCACCTCTCTCCCCCTACTTCTCCTCCCCGGTGGCAAGGCAGCCACCGTCAGGGCATGCCACCATCAGAGGAGGAGGTTTGCAGTACGTGTCCCCCACGGCGCCACCCTCCATCACTAAGTGTAACTAGATTATCTTCTTCATTGTGGAGACAAATTAACTGAGCCTCTATGGTCTTTTGGGCCACTGGGAAAGCCACACCAAAGGGCTTCTCACGCTCTCACGGAAGGCATCAGTCTCAATCACACGCCGCGGCACAGGATGGCAGTCGGCTGGTGCCAGGGACTTGCATGATCCCTGGACGCCTCTCAGCACAGGGGGTGTCTCTGATGGTTTTGGGTCCCATCACCAGAGACTCTGAGTGGACAGGGGAATTGTCTCACTGTTGAGGAGCCCCGGACAAAAGGCTCCCACCCTTGATGCACCCCAGGGAACGTGAGGAAGAAAGAGGAGGAAGATCTAGGAGGGGAACGGTAGGTATCAAGTCGGAGTGGAGAAGAGCTCCTCAGCCAAGGTCCCCAGCCCATACGTGTGTGAGCACGGCTGGCCCTGGGCCTGTGGCCTGGACGGCCACTCCCTTGAGAAAACTTCAAAGCACTGGCCAGGAACCAAGTTG